AGTAGAATGAGGTCGTTGGGCTAGTAAGTGACAGGTCGGCGGTGGCGGTCGGCGTTGCGCTTAGCGATGATGTTTGATTTTTTATTGCGTCTGCTGCTCGGGTCCATGCTGCTTGTAAAATTTCTGCGAATTGTTGCGCGCGTGGTACTGGGTTGTCAGTATTCGGAGTCATGGGCACTGTGGGGTCTTGTCCGTGGTTCAGGTAAAAGGGTGACTGTTGGGTCGTGGCGGATGGCGAGTTGTTGTATGAAAATTCTATGAGTGGCAGTTGCTGTTCCCACGTGGTCGGGTCGTCGCACGTGGCTCGGATGAGCTATTCCATGGTTTGATTTGTCCGTTTTGTCTGTCCGTCGGTTTCGGGGTGGTATGATGAATTGAACTGTAGTTGCGTGCCGAATTGCTACCACAGGTTCCGCCAGAAGTTGCTGGTGAATTTCGTGTCGCGGTCGCTGATGAACGCTGCTGGTATCCCGTGCAGTCGAACGACGGTGGAGATGAAGAGGCGGGCTGTTTCTTCGGTTGTGATTGATTTTGTTGCAGGCTACGAAATGTGCCATTTTTGTCAGCCGATCAACGACTACCAGGATCGCACGCTCTAGGGGTGGTATCGGCTGCAATTGCTCTGCCGGCCGCTTCCGTGATTATTTCATGAGTTGGCAGGTGGGACATGATGCCACGTATCGTTGCACGTCGGTCAGCATCTCGGGCCAATAATAATACTGCTGCAGCCGCAGCCGCGTCTTTTCTACTTCGAATTGTCTTGAGGTGGCTCTATCATGTGCCTCCTGTAGCAGTAATTCCAGTAGTAAGGTGTAGCTTGGTACCCAGATCCTATCAGTGCCGGATTTTACGTAATACACCCCTTTTGCTGCTGCAAATTGCTGCGAGTTTCCTCCGGTGAAGAACGGGTGTGTTTGGTAGCCGTGGGTAAATAGTCCTGTAAGTAGTGGGCTGGTCTGGGCGAGTAGCATAGCATGGATTTGGGCAGTGGGGCGGGTCAGTGCGTCGGCGATGTTTGATGCCCCCTTTTTGTAGGTGACCGGGTAATGGAAATTTAACTCGAGGAAATCGAGCCAGCGAGTCTATCGTGGGTTGAGGTGGTGCTGTGCGCGAAGGTACTCTAGTGACTTGTGGTATGTCCGTACTGTCACGTCTGCGCCAGTCAAGTAGCAGCGCCAGACCTTGAATGCATGCACGATCGCGAGCATTTCGCGGTCGTGTATCGGGTAGTTTTTCTCGGGCGGATGCAAATTTCGTGACTCATATGCGATGAGTTGTAACCCGTTGCCGAAATCCTGTAGCAGTACGGCCCCACTGGCGATGTCGCTTGCGTCTGTAACTACTTCGAATGGGCGGTGTGGGTTGGCAATGCGCAGGACGGGCGGTGAACAGAGGACATTTTTCAAGGCAGAGAAGGCAGCATGCTCTTTCTCCCCCCACGTAAAAGCGACCCCCTTCCACAGCAGATCTGTTAGTGGGGTCGTTAACAGTGCCATGTCGGGGACAAACCGACGCACATAATTAACAAACCCTAGAAAGCTCTGCAGCTCCGTGATATTTGTCGGGGGATGCCATGCTTTTACCGTGTACAGCTTCTTTGGATCGATCTCGACTCCAGCCTCCGAAATAACGTGCCCCAAAAACTCTAGCCAATCCTGAAAAAACTCGCACTTGGCGCAGTCCGATGGTTCAACTCGAATCTGATGGTAACCTCTTCGTAAATCTATTTTCGAAAAGACACGTGCTGCTCGCAGTTGATATATCAGTTCGTCGGCGCAGGGACTGGGGTATCGCGACTTGACTGTTACCCTGTTCAAAGCTCTGTAGTCGATGCACATGCGAAAGCCTTCATCTATTTTCGGCATGAACAGTATCGGTGCGGCGAACGGTGACGAGCTCTGTCAGATGATTTTTTTCTCTATTAGATAATATAACTGCTTCCTCAGTTCGTCGAGCTCGGGTTGCGTCAGTCTGAACTGTCGCTGTACGGTTGGCTGTGCTTCCGGCTCTAATTCTATTCGGTGGTCGTGCGCTTGCTGAGGTGGCAGTCCCTCCGGTAAGTCATCCGGAAAAATCCTAGGCACCGTTTTGTTAAACTTATATTCTATACTCTGTTTAGGCTGTAGTGGGGTAGTTCTTACAGGGTACAACACTTTTAGGTTTCCCATATGTACCCACCTTCTTTCTAGTTCAATCATTCCTCTCATTATTCTCACATGGTATAGAGCGAGTTCCCTAGTGGGACCGTTTTTTTTTAAGGGCCCACCACTACAAATTCTTTTTCCTTACCTGCCCGAAGCGCGCTTCGCGCTTGTCTTAGCTGCGCCCCGTGCGCTCTGCCCTTAGCGGCCCGCCTTAGGGCCCTCCTCGTCGCGCCCCTCATGGCCCCCTTTGCGGCCCTTCGAGGCCCCTTTGCGGCCCTTCGCGGCCCCCTTTACGGCCCTTCGCGGCCCGTCGCGGCCAATCGCGGCCCCTTCGCGGCCCTTTGCGGCCCTTCGCGGCCCTTCGCGGCCCCTTGCGGCCCCTTCGCGGCCCTTCGCGGCCCTTCGTGGCCCCTCTTGCGGCCCCTTCAGCAGCTGCCGTAGCCCCTGCCAGCACCTACTGGCGCGCCCCTTCCGTGCCCCTGCTGACGCGCCCCTACTGGCGCGCCCCTACCAGCCCCTCCTGGCGAGCCCCTGCCGGCCCCTGCTGGCGCGCCCCTGCCGGCCCCTGCTGACGCGCCTCTGCCGGCCCCTGCTGACGCGCCCCTACTGGCGCGCCCCTGCCGGCCCTTGCTGGCGCGCCCCTGCCGGCCTCTGCAGGCGCGGCCCCTGCATTCACGGCCCGCCCCTGCACCCGTCTCTGGTAAGCCGAGCCGCGCCACCCAGCCAAGCCGCGCTGCCCAACCGAGCCGCGCCGCCCAGCCGAGCCGCACCGCCCAGCCGAGCCGCGCCGCTCAGCCGAGCCGCGCCGCCCCACCGAGCCGCACTGCCCTACCGAGCCGCACTTCCTTGCACTGCCTTACTGCCTCTGCTTCTACTGCTGCTACTCTTGCTACTGCTCCTACTGCTGCTATGGCTAGTCCTACCGTTCTCACCTTTGACGCTGAGGGACGTGCAGTTGACTTTGACGTGTGGGTTGACGACCTACAGCTCTTTCTTCAGTGTGATTCTAGGGATGGGGTATCCCTTTTCGATCACACGTCCGGTGTTTCTACTGCTCCTGCTGCCACTGCTGACAGTACGGTTCGCTCGCAGTGGACCACTCGTGACGCTGTTGCTCGTCTTGCTGTTCGTAGTCACCTGCCGCCTGCTGAGCGCGCGCATTTTGGCCAGTACAAGACTGCTCAGTCTTTGTACGACGCTGTAGTTGCACGCTACTCCTCCCCTGCCACTGCTGCCCTCAGCCGCCTCATGCTGCCGTACCTTTTCCCTGACCTTGCCGCCTTTGCCACAGTCGCTGACCTAGTTGCTCACCTTCGCACTAGTGACGCCCGCTACCGCGCTGCCCTTCCCACTGAGTTCTGTGCCAAGAACCCCCCCCCCATGTACATCACCCTTTACTACCTAGTCACCCGCCTCCCTGACTCCCTTGCTTCAGTCAGGGACCACTTTCTCTCACTTTGCCCCACCGAGCTGACTGTCGACCTGCTAGAGGAGCGCCTTACTGCAGCTGAGAAGAGTATCTTAGCTGTAGGTGCTTCTCGCGGCGACCGTCGCACCCCTTTCTTTGAGGGGTGTTCCCCTGTCCCCCTTCTCCCCTCTGTTGCTTCTGCTGCTGCTGTCGACCTCGTTGGCACTGAGGAGGTCGGAGCAGCGTCTGCCCCTAGTGGGAGACGCCGCAACAGCAAGGGCAAGGGGAGCAAGGGTGGTGGAGGGGGCGGCGGGGGAAGCAGTGGAGGAGGTGGAGGAGGCGGAGGTAGTGGCGGCAGTGGAGGTAGTGGCGGCGGTGGCGGAGGTGGTGGAGGAAGCGGCGGCGGTGGTGGAGGTGGCGGTGGCGGTGGTGCTGGTCGAGGTGCAGCCGCGCAGAGTGGAGGCTTTGGTGGCAGCCAGCGCCAGCATTAGCTGCGCTCCCGTGAGACCCCGTCGGTCCAGCAGCTTCGTGAGTGGTACGCTGGGCGTGGGAGGTCTGGGGGTGCAGGTCCCTGCACTTACGTTCTTCGCACCGGCACTCGTAGTGGGGAGGTGTGTGGGCTCCCACACACTACGCAGCGCTGCTTCGGTCGCTTGACTGACGCTTGGCGTGCCCGGTTTCCTGACGCCGTTGAGCTCCCTCGCTGGCATGATCTGCTTCTGCAGAATGTGCCTATCTTTGATCTAGATTTTGATACTATCCTTGCTGCCATGTATGCTATAGCTGATAGTGCTGAGGGTGACTGTTACCTGAGTGTCCCGCCCGACCCGGGCATTGCGGCTGCTGCTCTAGGTGCTAGTGCGTCTGCTTCTCCAGGTGCTGGTGCGTCTGCTCTCTCTGGTACTGCACCTACTGAGTCCTTGCACACTTTCACACTTGACTCTGGTGCTTCGCGCTCTTTCTTTAGAGACAGCACCACGCTCACGCCGCTCAGTCGGCCTGTTGCGGTCTCCCTTGCTGACCCCTCAGGGGGCCCAGTCCTTGCACACTCCTCCACGGTTCTACCGTGTCCTGCGGCCCCGTCGGGCTTGCTGTCGGGACTCCACCTCCCCTCGTTCTCTACAAAATTGGTGAGTGGAGCTGACCTCCAGGACGCGTGGGTTGACCAGTTCACCCCTGGAGGTCAGCGTGTGACCCACTGCACTTGCTCTCGGACGGGCCGCCACCTGGCCACGTTCACCCGTCGGCCAGGGTCGAGTCTGTACACACTGACTACTGCGCCTCCTCCGGTCTCTGCGTCTGGTCAGGTAGCTGCGTCTAGTCAGGTGTTTGCTGCCGCGTCCAGGTCTAGTCCTGCGTCTGCCCCCTGCTCGTGTCGTCCTCTGTCGCACGAGACTCTCCTTTGGCACCACCGCCTTGGTCACCCCTCCCTGCCTCGTCTTCGAGGTATGGCCTCCCGTGCCCTTGTCTCGGGTCTACCCCGGTCCCTCCCTCCCCTTCCTCCGGGGCCTGCCCCCACCTGTGTTCCTTATGTCGAGGGCAGGCAGCGCGCCGCTCCTCACTCCTCCTCGTTCCCTCCGACTGAGGCTCCTCTGCAGACTCTTCACATGGACGTGTGGGGCCCAGCCCGCGTCCGTGGACAGGGTCACGAGCGTTACTTCCTGCTGGTCGTTGACGACTACTCGCGTTACACCACAGTCTTCCCCTTGCGCAGCAAGGGTGAGGTCCCTAAGGTGTTGATCGACTGGATCCGCGGTACTCGTCGCCAGCTCAGTGAGAGTTGCGGTTCAGACCTTCCTGTTCTGCGTCTGCACTCAGACAGAGGTGGGGAGTTTTCCTCCGACCTCCTGAGGGCCTTCTGACGTTCGGAGGGCATCCGCCAGACGTTCACGCTTCCGGCCTCCCCGCAACAAAATGGGATTGCTGAGCGCCGTATTGGCATGGTCATGGACGTCGCTCGTATGTCCATGATCCATGCGGCTGCTCCCCATTTTCTGTGGTCGTTCGCGGTTCAGTACGCTGCGCATCAGATCAACCTTCAGCCTCGTGTCTCCTTGCCGGAGACCACACCTACTCTGCGGTGGACAGGGAAGGTTGGCGATGCGTCCGCGTTCCGTGTCTGGGGATCTCGAGCTTTAGTCCGCGATACTACAGCGGACAAGCTGTCCTCCCGTGCCGTTCCCTGTGTCTTCCTTGGCTTCCCTCCTGACGCACCCGGGTGGCAGTTGTACCACCCCACCTTGCGTCGTGTTCTGTCCTCTCAGGACGTCACGTTTGACGAGTCGGTGTCGTACTACCGTCTCTTTCCCTACCGCACTGCCTCTCTCCCCCCCCGCCGCTCTTCCTAGCACCAGGTACTCCCCCGGTAGACCCCCTCCCCCCCCAGGGTCCTGCCCCCTCAGGTGTGTCCCAGGTAGACCCTGCCGAGCCGGTCGAGGTAGCTGTCGACTCAGGTGCTGCTAGGGGTGCTGAGCCTGCGGGTGCGGGGACTGGGGGTGCGGGGACTGGGGGTGCTGAGCCTGAGCGTGTGGAGCCTGGGGGTGCTGAGTCTGGGGGTGCTGAGTCTGGGCGTGCTGAGCCTGGGGGTGCTGAGCCTGCGCGTGCGGAGTCTGGAGGTGCTCTAGGTGTCCCGTCGCGGCGGGAGCCTCTCTCTCCACAGCAGCTTCGTGAGTGGTACTCTCGGCGCTGTCGAGGTGCTGCTGGTGCTGCTGGAGCTGCTGGAGGTGCTGTTGGAGCTGCTGGAGGTACTGCGGGTGCTGGTGCTGCTCCTGGAGCTGCTGGAGGAGCTACTGGAGCTGCTGGAGGTGCTGCTGGTGCTGGAGGTGCTCCTGGAGCTTCTGGAGGTGCTGCTGGTGCTGACGCTGCTGGTGGTGCTGCTGGTGCTGGAGGTGCTGTTGGTGCTGGAGCTGCTGGAGGTGCTGCTGGTGCTGGAGCTGCTGGAGCTGCTGGAGGTGCTGCTGGGACTGGAGACCTTGGGGCTGAGGGTACCGGTTCTGTCTCTGCTGTTTCTGGAGGCGCTGCGCGGCCGCGGCCGTACTACGTTCCGCTCCTTTAGCAGGTTCTTGGCTCCCCGCCTTCTCCTGGTCCTCCTCCTCCTTTCCTAAGTCCACCGCCTGTCCAGTCCCAGTTGCAGTTGCACCCGGCCTCTCCACTGCCTGGTCCTTCTCCTTACTCTGGACCGACTAGAGGTCTTACGGAGCGTCGTGAGCCTGAGTCTCGTCCTGTGTCGCCTGCGTCTCGTTCTGCGTCGCCTGTCCGTACTGTTCGCGCTGGTCGTGTTTCGCGTCCGCGTCCTCCTCCTGTCCCTGGCACTCATTCTATGACTCTTCGTCCTTCCACTGCTCCGCCGCGTGTCCCTTTGCCGTCTCCTCCTGCGTCCTCTCTTCCTGCCGGTCCGGACCCTGCGTCTGACTCCCTACGTGCTGCTAGTCCAGCTGTCACGCATTTTCTGGCCACTGCTGTCACTGACCCTTTGTTTGAGTCCACTGCTGCGTCTGCTCCTTGTTGACTTTGCTGCAGCCTGTCGCCTAGACTACGCCACTAGTCTTGTTGCTGAGTCTGCGTCTGTGTCTGTCTGTCCTCCGTTGTCGGGGGTGAGTGTGCTCTTGGCACGGACGTTCTTGAGGACAGACAGGAGGAGTTTGAGTGCTTTGCTGCTTCTATACCTCATCTCGTGTCCATGCTGCTTGCCCCTGAGGGAGACCCGGATGCACCAGACATCCCGACCCCACGCTCTTACGCAGAAGCGATAGAGGGTCCCTACTCCTCTCAGTGGCAGGCAGCCATGGACGCCGAGATGGCTTCATGGAAGTCCACAGGCACCTACGTCGACGAGGTTCCCCCGCCTGGGGCGAACATCGTCAGTGGCATGTGGATCTTTAGGGTGAAGCGGCCGCCGGGTTCTCCGCCTGTCTTCAAGGCGCGTTACATTGCACATGGTTTCAGTCAGCGACAGGGAGTTGACTTCTTCCAGACCTTCTCCCCTACCCCGAAGATGACCACTCTTCGGGTACTGCTGCACGTAGCTGCTCAGCGTGACTACGAGCTCCACTCGCTTGACTTCAGCACAGCCTTCCTACAGGGCAGCCTGCACGAGGAGATCTGGCTGCGCCGCCCACCTGGCTTCACTGGGTCGTTTCCAGCTGGTACCCAGTGGAGCCTCCGGCGGCCAGTCTACGGTCTCCGCCAGGCACCCCGTGAGTGGCACGACACACTCAGGACGACTCTTGCAGCGCTTGGTTTTGCTCCTTCCACTTCTGACCCTTCTCTGTTTTTACGCACTGACACTACTCTGCCGCCGTTCTACGTTCTCGTGTACGTAGACGACCTCGTCTTTGCTACTGCTGACACAGAGACACTCGCCCACGTGAAGTCCGAGCTGCAGAAGAGACACACGTGTACAGACCTGGATGAGCTGACAAGCTATCTTGGCTTGCGGATCACCCGGGACAGAGCACAGCGCACCATTACCTTGACTCAGTCACACATGGTGCAGCAGGTCCTTCAGCACTTCGGCTTCACATACTCCTCGCCACAGTCCACTCCTCTGCCTACCGGTCACTCGCTCTCAGCTCCACCTTCGGACGAGTCCGTAGAGCCGAGTGGCCTGTATCCAGAGCTTGTGGGCTGCCTCATGTACCTGATGACTTGCACACGACCTGACCTCGCATACCCTCTCAGCCTTCTGGCTCACTACGTGGCTCCCGGCAGGCACCGAAAGGTGCACTGGGATGCTGCGAAGAGGGTGTTGCGATACTTGTGCAGTACATCGGGAATGGGGCTCGTGCTTGGAGGACGGGCTCGAGTTGTCCTCACTGGTCACGCTGACGCCTCCTGGGTTGACGAATTGGCTACGCAGCGGTCGTCACAGGGTTACACCTTCAGTCTTGGCTCCGGTTCTGTCTCTTGGCGGTCTACCCGCTCTTCTTCTGTTCTCAGCTCCAGTTGTGAGGCTGAGATCTACGCTGGGGCCATGGCTGCACAGGAGCTACGCTGGCTCACCTACCTGTTGACCGACTTGGGAGAGGCGCCTCGTTCTCCTCCAGTTCTGTACGTCGACAACAAGGCCATGCTGGCCTTGTGTCAGGAGCACAGACTGGAGCACAGAACGAAGCACATTTCTCTGCGCTACTTCCTTGCTCGAGAGTTGCAGCAGCGTGGCCAGCTTCGTCTTGCTTACGTGGCCTCTCAGGCCAACATTGCTGATGTTTTCACCAAGGCACTTCAGCCTTGTGATCATCAGCGTTTCTGTATTGTGTTAGGCCTTGTACCTACTGTGCCTCACTTGCTTTCTTCTTGATTCTGCGAGTACTGTACTCTTTATACATATACCTGCATGCTTACACTTGCTAGGTTGTGTTCACTGTATTGTTTGTTCTCCTTTATATAACTCTGCATGTGAACTGGCCTTGTGGCCATTTGCTTGTGCTCAGACTCCGTGGTGACTTTGTTATCCACCCTAAGCTTGCTTTGCCTTTCTTGACTGGTCTTGTGACCTCTTGTTCTCCCCCACTTTGCCTATGGGGGTGTGTCAAACTTATATTCTATAGTCTGTTTAGGCTGTAGTGGGGTAGTTCTTACAGGGTACAACACTTTTAGGTTTCCCATATGTACCCACCTTCTTTCTAGTTCAATCATTCCTCTCATTATTCTCACACGTTTCAACAGTTCCTATAGTTCGGGCGGTACGGCTGCGATCTGTTCCCGAAAGTCGCTCGGCTGCTCTGCTTCTCCTACCAATGCGATATCCACTGCATACACGTCAGCTCCAGCGGCGACAGGCCGTTTCATCGTGATGGCGTTGACGTGGACCGTCAAAGACTCGGATGACTGCCATGGAGGTAATTTGACCCAGTTACCACTACTTCGCACATTGCAGCTACCCGTCGTCCAGTCGATTCGGGATTGTAACGTCGCAGCCAATCACGTCCCAGTAAAATGTCGTACCCATCCAATGTCGTCGCGAGCATTTCCTGTGTAAACCCGAAGTTCCCCCCGCAGCAAACTTTCACCCTCTCCACTTTTTCCCTTATTGCCAGTGGTGTGCCGTCAACTAAGCGTGCGTCGGTCTCCGGTAAACAGCGACTAAGCGTCAGTTGGAGCTTCCGTGCATTGGCGGTATTAACTAAGCTGTAACTTGCTCCTCCGTCTAAAAAAATCTTCACTGTTGTCCCCTGTATTGTCCTGTAAATCAGTATTGGGCAATCTGTCGCTGTACCCTCCTTATTCATCCGAGCCCGATCGATGGCGTGAATTGGTACTGTGACTCAGTGAGGGTCGGTGAGGTTGGGCGAGCTGGTTGTCTCGTTAGTAGTTGGCCCGTTTTCTACTGACTGCTTGTGTTTCCCTCCCCTGCTCTGCTCCGTGGCGTCTCTGCTCCTCTAGGCATTCACTCTTGCGATGGCCCAGTCGGATGCAAGCAAAGCAGGGCCCCTTAAATGGTGCAGCAGCTGCATTCGTCGCAACGGCGTGTACGGTGGCGTGCTCGGTCAGCCCCCAAGGGCGATGTCCGTAATAGGACCCCGGCCTCGGACGGCCCAAAATATCGATTTTCTCGGCGAGTGCGAGGATCTCGTCGAAATTTGAGAGCCCACGTAGCATGATTTCATGCGAGATGTCCGACTTTAACCCTCTGACATAACGGTTCACCCGCTCCGCTTAGTGCATCTAGCTGACTTGCTCGCATAGTGCGAGAAAACCGCTCGTATATTCTTGGACCGACCCAAGTTGTCGCCAAGTATGTGGTCTCTGACGTGCCGAAATAGAAGCCACGATCGGCTCGAAGTGCGCGTGAACCCCTGCGCACCACGCATCCCACGTGCTGAACTGGGCGGTTTCGCATAACGAATTCCAGGTGACGGCTGGACCCGTGGGCCCTTCCTCTTGCGACCGCAGCTCGTAGGCGCGTGGCGACGTCACAATGACTCGCCACCAGTCCATGGCGGGGCCCCGCGGCAGCGAAACGGCGTATCGTATCTTCGCTGCGTCCGACTCGACGAAATTCGCGTCGAAGAAGATGTTCATCGTGAGGACCCACGATTGAACCGTCGGACCTCCACGTTGGCTCGGGTCGAAACAAGGCACGCGCTGCGGTTTGAGCGACATCGGCGCGACGATGTCGTTGTTGCCGATCGTGTGAGAATAATGAGAGGAATGAATGAACTAGGAAGGAGATGGGTACAAGTAGAAAACACAAAAGTGTTGTACCCTATAAGAACTACCCCACTACAGCCTAAACAGACTATAGTATATGTAAGTTTGACACACCCCCATAGGCAAAGTGGGGGAGAACAAGAGGGCACAAGACCAGTCAAGAAAGGCAAAGCAAGCTCAGGGTGGATCACAAAGTCACCACGCAGTCTGAGCACAAGCAAATGGCCACAATGCCAGTTCACATGCAGAGTTATATAAACGAGAACAAACAATACAGTAAACACAACCTAGCAAGTGTAAGCATGCAGGTATATGTATAAAGAGTACAGTACAGGCAGAGTCAAGAAGAAAGCAAGTGAGGCACAGTAGGTACAAGGCCTAACACAGTACAGAAACGCTGATGATCACAAGGCTGAAGTGCCTAGGTGAAAACATCAGCAGTGTTGGCCTGAGAGGCCATGTAAGCAAGACGAAGCTGGCCACGCTGCTGCAACTCTCGAGCAAGGAAGTAGCGCAGAGCAATGTGCTTCGTTCTGTGCTCCAGTCTGTGCTCCTGACACAAGGCCAGCATGGCCTTGTTGTCGACGTACAGAACTGGAGGAGAACGAGGCGCCTCTCCCAAGTCGGTCAGCAGGTAGGTGAGCCAGCGTAGCTCCTGTGCAGCCATGGCCCCAGCGTAGATCTCAGCCTCACAACTGGAGCTGAGAACAGAAGAAGAGCGGGTAGACCGCCAAGAGACAGAACCGGAGCCAAGACTGAAGGTGTAACCCTGTGACGACCGTTGCGTAGCCAAGTCGTCAACCCAGGAGGCGTCAGCGTGACCAGTGAGGACAACTCGAGCCCGTCCTCCAAGCACGAGCCCCATGCTTGATGTACTGCACAAGTATTGCAACACCCTCTTCGCAGCATCCCAGTGCACCTTTCGGTGCCTGCCGGGAGCCACGTAGCGAGCCAGAAGGCTGAGAGGGTATGCGAGGTCAGGTCGTGTGCAAGTCATCAGGTACATGAGGCAGCCCACAAGCTCTGGATACGGGCCACTCGGCTCTACGGACTCGTCCGAAGGTGGAGCTGAGAGCGAGTGACCGGTAGGCAGAGGAGTGGACTGTGGCGAGGAGTACGTGAAGCCGAAGCGCTGAAGGACCTGCTGCACCATGTGTGATTGAGTCAAGGTAATGGTGCGCTGTGCTCTGTCCCGGGTGATCCGCAAGCCAAGATAGCTTGTCAGCTCACCCAGGTCTGTGCACGTGTGTCTCTTCTGCAGCTCGGACTTCACGTGGGCGAGTGCCTCAGTGTCAGCAGTAGCAAAGACGAGGTCGTCTACGTACACGAGAACGTAGAACGGCGGCAGAGTAGTGTCAGTGTGTAAAAACAGAGAAGGGTCAGAAGTGGAAGGAGCAAAACCAAGAGCAGCAAGAGTTGTCCTGAGTGTGTCGTGCCACTCACGGGGTGCCTGGCGGAGACCGTAGACTGGCCGCCGGAGGCTCCACTGGGTACCAGCTGGAAACGACCCAGTGAAGCCAGGTGGGCGGCACAGCCAGATCTCCTCGTGCAGGCTGCCTTGTAGGAAGGCTGTGCTGAAGTCAAGCGAGTGGAGCTCTTAGTCACGGTGAGCAGCTACGTGCAGCAGTACCCGAAGAGTGGTCATCTTCGGGGTAGGGGAGAAGGTCTGGAAGAAGTCAACTCCCTGTCGCTGACTGAAGCCACGTGCAACATAACGCGCCTTGAAGACAGGCGGAGAACCCGGCGGCCGCTTCATCCTGAAGATCCACATGCCACTGACGATGTTCGCCCCAGACGGGGGAACCTCGTCGACGTAGGTGCCTGTGGACTTCCAGGAAGCCATCTCGGCGTCCATGGCTGCCTGCCACTGAGAGGAGTAGGGACCCTCTATCGCCTCTGCATAAGAGCGCGGGGTCGGGATGTCTGGTGCATCCGGGTCTCCCTCAGGGGCAATCAGCATGGACACGAGATGAGGTACAGAATCGGCAAAGCACTCAAACTCCTCCTGTCTGTCCTCAAGAACGTCCGTGCCAAGAGCACACTCTCCCCCGACGGACGGAGGACAGACAGACGCAAACGCCGACTCAGCAACAAGACTAGTAGCGTAGTCTAGGCGACAGGCTGCAGCAAAGTCAACAAGCTCAGTAACAAGAGCAGACGCAGCAGTGGACTCAAACAAAGGGTCAGTGACAGCAGTGGCCAGAAAACGCGTGACAACTGGACTAGCAGCACGGAGGGAGTCAGACGCAGGGTCCGGACCAGCAGGAAGAGAGGACGCAGGAGGAGACAGCCGAGGGACACGCTGTGGAGCAGTGGAAGGACGCAGAGTCATAGAGTGAGTGCCAGGGACAGGAGGAGGACGCTGACGCAAAACACGACCAGTGCGAACAGAACGGACAGGCGACGCAAAACGAGACTCAGGCGACACAGGACGGGACTCAGGTTCACGACGCTCCGTAAGACCTCTAGTCGGTCCAGAGTAAGGAGAAGGACCAGGCAGTGGAGAGGCCGGCTGGAACTGCGACTGGGACTGGACAGGCGGTGGACTAAGGGAAGGAGGAGGAGGACCAGGAGAAGGCGGGGAGCCAAGAACCTGCTGAAGGAGCGGAACGTAGTACGGCCGCGGCCGCGCAGCGCCTCCAGAAACAGCAGAGACAGGACCGGTACCCTCAGCCCCAGGGTCTCCAGTCCCAGTAGCTCCTCCAGTAGCTCCAGCAGCTCCAGCACCAGCAGCACCTCTAGCAGCTCCAGCAGCTCCAGCAGCTCCAGCACCAGCAGCACCTCCAGTACTAGCAGCACCGCCAGCAGCTCTAGCAGTACCTCCAGCAGCTCCAGTAGCTCCAGCACCAGCAGCACCTCCAGCAGCTCCAGCACCAGCAGCACCTCTAGCACCAGCAGCACCACCAGAAGCTCCAGCAGCACCCCCGGCACCAGCAGCACCTCCAGCAGCTCCAGCAGCACCAGCACCAGCACCCGCAGCACCTCCAGCAGCTCCAGTAGCACCTCCAGCAGCTCCAGCAGTACCTCGACAGCGCCAAGAGTACCACTCACGAAGCTGCTGTGGAGAGAGAGGCTCCCGACGCGACGGGACACCTAGAGCACCTCCAGACTCAGCACGCGCAGGCTCAGCACCTCTAGACACAGCAC